GTGCCACGCTACTAGGAACAAGTGCCTTACTAGTAGTAACAAGAAGCTAGTAGAAATAAACTCAAAAAAATAACAACATGTATGGTCTTGGAAAATGGACCGAAGCAGGACATGCGACATGAAATCATGGCTCTCATCACATCCTCACTTGTTGGTTAGAAAGGAAGGCTGAGACATGCACGCCAAGCGTGAAAGATGTGAAAGTAAGACACGTCCAAGCTCCTGATTTAGCCCCTTCTCACTACAAGTATCTTCCAAGCTGCTCATGTTGAACATAGTCTATGAGGAAGAGGGCCTGTGGCTGCATGGCAAATTCTTGAATCGGGCATGGCTTCTAGCCATGTTTCACCATGAAACTGGCTCAAAATCTGGCTGCCTTCATGCCAGGCTGCCAAGTGTGGGGTTCTTAAGAGTGCCGACCGGGTTTCTCAACAGGATGAAAAGCAAGGAAGAGACGCTTGGGAGAACCTTTAATTAATAAACCAACTTCGAACTAGCATTGTCTACTCGTAGTCTACTTATGATTAGTCTCTACTGGGTTGCTTGGCTGGGAAGGCAAGTGAAGACCACTTAAGACTTGGGGCTCCACAGTCTCGATCGAGGACTGGGCGTGATTAGAGGAGCCAAAGACAGCTAAATGGCCCGACCTCAGGAAAGCCAAACCGCTAAGGCCGGCAACAAATTTGGAAATGGTGCCGATTCAATCGACTGAGTCGATGATTGACATGGATCAGGGGAGGTTATCTTTGGTATTTGAACACAAAAGAGTCTCAGGAGGGTTACAGCGTCATCTTGCTGTGGAATGGACAACTCGCCACACGCATTGTGATTTTCTATCAAGGCACACCGTAACTGCATTGAAGCGGGCAGTGGCGGTGCTGCCAAATGCCTGCAAATGAGTTGCGGCGCGGTTAGGAGTATATTGTATAATGTTGTCAATATATGTCTTAAAGGCTGCTGGCGTGTGCTCGCGGTTCCCCACCAGAACAACCGGGTTCCGAAAAGAGTGTCGGCCCTTCTAACCTTGCAAATAGCTGAAAAGTACCACCTGAGGTCATCGTACCTCACCACCTTTATCTCTGTGTTCGAAGCAAACTCAACACTTTAGTGTCCTACTCCCTGAGTCAGCTTTGCCACGTTGCGCTGTGGAAGCTACTAGGGGCTCTTGGCCTTACTACTAGGAGCAAGAAGCTACTAGGGGCTCCTGGCCGTACTACTAGGAGCAAGGACGCTACTAGGGGCTCCTGGCCGTACTGGTAGAAGCAAGGACGCTACTATATGTTTCGATCATGCGTCCCGGCCAACATTGACCACATGAAGGCAATTCCTTGGTGCAAGGCGCCCAACGATACCCCTACGGCAGGCTCCACACATTTCGCTGATCGTCTTGTGGCCTCAACCTCCTTCCCTTTCAACTGGCCAAAGCGAAGCTCCTCCTGGCCATGAACCGACGCAAAGGAAGCAACCCCTGCCAAATCAAGAAAAACCTGGTATGATGGGACGGTTGACTGGTCTGGTGTAGGTAGCAAATATCAAAGAACTGTGTCCTACTGTAAAAAACAAGTAACCATTGGAAGGAATAGTAACATGCAAAAAATCAAGAGATCGCGGCATTTTACCACATCTCGCGCAATTCATTGCAGAGGTCTGGAGAGCGGATTCTTGGCATCTCCCACCCCCTGTCATCACCCATGCTGCATGCTATGCCGTGCTCTACTCACGGAGAGAAATAAAACAATCCTATTAAGTCTTCCTTGACGTTTGGATTCCCCAAGCACAGAAAGTCCTTGCTGTCATAGCCGAACATCTCACTCAACCTCAAAGGTTGACATGACAGTCACTTTGCCATCGGGCAATGTCTCCATGCCTTTGGCCGCCAAGGCTTTGCGCAAATGCCTGGGTGGAATCGGTGATAAGAAGGAACCGTGCATTTGCAGCTACAGTAGATTGATTGAACCTTTACTGTACATTGATTGAACCTTGAGCTGTCACCGGTCTAGGATCTTACAGGCAAGCTCCACACCTTGAAGGCCTAGATGACAAATTCATTATTCTATTATGTAAACAATATATAAATATGTGTGTGAGTCTGTGTATATAAAACTACGATGATGCCAACTAACTAACATCAAACAGCTTGGTGCAATGAGGATTAGCAGCCACATGCATCATCATGCATCCACAGGCTCTCAACGTAAGAGGCAATGTCAAGGCGAGTGGCATAAAGTCAAACTGCTTCTGCAAAGGCCAAGTCGATTGCTTCCAGAGTTCATCATCTCTTGAAGGGACACCATAGAACCTGATTTGGTGTGGCTCCACTCGCAGGGAGAACTTTTCGAAGATGTAGGTCGTGTAGTCCAGATCCGACGCCGGATGCAGGAAAGTGGTGTCATCCGGTGCGACATGTCCTGAAATTTCATGGTCCAAGTGGTAGACCTCAGAGGTGAAGAAACGAAGTTCAACCATGTTTGATCAAAGAGCCACATGTTTGGTTCAACCCTAGAATCCTAGTAGAATCCTAGAAAAGCTACACTGTGGCAATTCTGCTGGAGCAGCAAGTAGACTTCCCAAAAGGAGTCGACCGACTCACTCTGGAACTCTCTTTCCCTCACTGCACCAAACATAATTCTGGGGCTCATCATTTCATAAACCTGTAATTATCCTGCAGTACGCAAAGGATTGCCTGAATAAGTCGCATTCTTTTGGCGTTGAAAACACATCGCAAGTGACCTACCCGACGAACCGACGAACTGTGATAAATGATGTGTCAGGGTCTCACTGATTTATCTATCAGATTCAACCATATCCAAAGATCGTTTGCATCCACCCCTATACTTTGTGACACACAAAGAGGGTCAAAGCTGCCATGCGCAGGCGCCTTTCTTTGGACCTACATCGCCATGTCCGACGTGGCCATGTCCGGTGTCGTAAATTTCACTCCGGTGCACCATGCAGCTCTCCACGACATGTTCATCGTGGCAGCCAGTCCAAACAGTGCAATTCACCGTGGCAGATCTCCGCTGCAGCTCCTAAAAGGGCACTCCCCACGTGAAGGTGGGTGCGTCGGTGTGGGGAGATCCTCTTCCCGATTCTGCGCCCAGCAAAAGCCTCCATGTGTCGTTTTTGGGTCTTTTTAGTTTTTCGGGATTCACCAAAACGGAAGGTGAACAGGGACGGAAATCGAAGGGAACTGTGAGTCGCATCCCTGTCCCAAAACACGACATGTCTCGATGCGAGTTAATAGGAAATCCCAGATCTGAAACGGAAATCGAAAACACACTTAATAGTGCACTCCGTCGCGGTCGTCCACCTCGCTTCAAACAAGAAGCTGTGCGTTTTGGGTTATATAGTATATAATTAATAACAAGTTCATGTCTCATGGGGTCAAATAGATTAGGAGAAGCACCAAGTACGCGCTTGCATTCCATAACCTAAAACGGTACGGAATTGTTTGACACGCAAAAAATAGAGATCAGCCAATTTAATGATACCATATGATACAATATGAATCAATATGACACAAGCTTATTAAGCAAGCTTCATTCAGCTTATTAAGTCTATTCAATGCACATTTCAGCTTGTTAAGCTTCATCACGCATATTAAGCTTCGCATTCATGAAGGATCTGTCGGTCCTTGCCGGTGCAACGGCTATGGTTTGCAGCCACGGCAGCTCGAGCTTCACTGTTTTCGAAGCAAAAGGCGGTATCAAAAGAGCCACAAAAACCTTGAGATCTCTCGGAAAGGCAAGCCCAGGAAAGCTCCCACCACCACGACAAGGACAAGGTCACAGAAACACACTCTAACATCATATTCATAGTATAGGTTCCACAAGCCAGCCGGCAGCCAGACCTGTTTCTCTATGCCAGCGTCTTTCAACCTAAATTCTATCTCGACTCAAACGTGCTGCCCTCATGAATGTGTGCCACCTCCATGGCAATGAACATCCTGAATTCAAACACAACCGAAAACTTGGAACGTCACCGAGTGCTAGTGCTAGTGGCCAGAGTTGTCTTTTGATGTCTCGACTGCATACATTACCTATCTATATGTAGAGATGTGCAGTGTGCTAAACTAGTTTTCGTGTATATATTTCAACATACAAGAAAAACTGCAAATTTGGCTATAGCGGCTATAGAGTCTTAATATGATCCCTGATTGCAGTGATGGCATTCACGTGTGTTAATTGCAGGCCGGTACAACTATATTCTGCAATGGGGTCGTGGCCCTTGATTTAGTTGCTCAAGTCTCACATAGTCCTTGAGGATAATTACCCTGCCCTTTGTTTGGGCTGGATGTTAAAAGTCCTTTTAATAATTGAACTTGGGAGCAAAAGTATCTCAGTTTTGATCACCCGCTAGTTTCGGAGAAAAAAAACAGCAGCCCCCCACCGAGTGCACATCGATGCAGAGTTGAATATATTGAATCACAGAGTATTGACAGATTGCATGTGGGGACGTGTTTGATAAAAATGGTCAACGAAGGAAAACATCAATGTGGTTTCATGTCAAGAGGCCGACGTACATCTTGAAGCTCCAGAAAAGCAGAAGTCAGAAGTCACATTCTCATCCAATTGCAAAAACAGGCTTAAAATGTAGTAGTAGTAGTAGTAGTAGTAGTAGTAGTAGTAGTAGTAAGTAGTCGTCGTACTGCTGAAACTTCATAGTGCCTAGGTGCTGATGAATGTTTCAGGCCCTTGATCTTTGCACTCAGCGATGGGCACCGGATTCCTTAGAGTTGTTTGAGCACTGGGGAAAACTATAGACATAACTTAACTGACATATCTAGTCTTCCTCAAAAGAGTTTCTTGTCCAATTTCGAGAAACATGGAGAAAGCAAACGTTAAATCCAGGTCTCTCTCGAAACGGAACCGGAAAGCCAGGTGCAGCATTAGGAGCAAAGCCCTGAAACTTGCTGCTCCTGAGTCACGGAGTGCTTGTCAAAACATTTCCTCTCACACCTCATACCTAGACCAACTTTGTAACAGCAAACTGTGACAGATTTACAGTGTAATTGGGTAATGCAATAGGGAAGAGCTAGATCCTCGAAGTTGCCATAGTAGAAAGAAAACAACGAGCAACGAGCAACGCTCCATGTATTTTACAAACCATCTCCTCAAACACGCCAAGTCTTGCGTGAAGTAGCCGCCATAGCTAAAGCCACCAGCGAAGACCTCAATTGTCGCGTCAGGGGATCGGAGGGTAATAAAAAACGGCTGCTGATTTGTGCAAGAACAAACCACACACACAGTGTCACAGTGAGCTCCTGCTGAATCTATTGATCTGCAAAGTAGAACTCGCTCGCCGCTTATCGTTCGACATGCTTGACTAGTGACCTTTGAAGTGTCAATGCAGGTGTTGGATGCCATCCACTCAAAAATCGCGTCCACCATTGCCAGGTTCTGTTGCAAATCTTTTGGCCAAAAGCCGCATGCATGATCCTGACACGAGGACCGGTCAGGACCCCACATGGCCAAGAAACGACCGAGAACCACCACATCTCACCACCGCGTCTCGGCCGAAGCGGGACACCAGGTCCTTCGATCAGAACTCGAAAAAGAGTCTGTCGGCATAGGTATCAAAAAAAATAAAAAGAGCATCAAAAAAAAATAAAAACAGGATCAAAATAAAAATAAAAAGCGAATCAAAAAATACATATTCCTTGATAGGCCTCTTCTGCTGCTATCCTGGCCTTGTGGTCTGCGGGTCCTCTGGTAATGTGGTCCCTTGGTCCTCTGGTCCACTGGTCCTTTGGTCCCCTGGTCCCTTGGTCCTTTAGTCCACTGGTCCCCTAGTCCTCCGGTCTCCTGGTCCTCTGGTCCTGTGGTCCGTTGGTTATCTGGTATCCTAGTCCTTCTGTCTCCGAGCGCTCTGACAACGCCATGTAGGGCCTAACTTCGTGTGAACGCCGTGAGTACTGCTACTGCTACCACTACTACTACTACTACTACTACTACTACGACTACTACTACTACTACTACTACTACTACTACTACGACTACGACTACTACTACTACTACTACTACTACTACTACTACTACTAGGAGGGGGATTTATTTTTGGATTTTTTTGTTTCTTTTTTGGATTTTTTGTTTTTCGTGGCTTCTGGCTTCTGGCTTCTGTGGCTTCTGGATTTTGTGGCTTTTGGCTTCTGTGGCTTCTGGCTTTTGTGGCTTTTGGCTTTCGTGGCTTCTGTGGCTTTTGGCTTTTGTGGCTTTTGGCTTTTTAGCCTATCCATCTATCTGTCTATACCTATTTATCTATCTATCTATCTTTCTTTCTTTTGGCAGCTGTTCTCCTTTCTCTTTTTGTATTTGCTTTTCCTGTTGTTTTCGTTGCAGAGACGAAACCAAACAAGGAAGCAAGGAAGCAAGCAAGCAAGCACGAGCTGCTCACCTTTGGATCTGGTGTGCTGCTGGGGGGGGCGCTGCGCCCCCCCCCCAACCCCACCCGCGCCACGAAATCTGCACTTCATCCCCGACACCCGCGCCTGCCACGAAATCAATATTTTAAGGTGCTCCGGCTCCTGCTGCTGCTGCTGCTGCTGCTACTGCTACTGCTACTGCTACTGCTACGCTGGTGCTGCTGCTGCTGCTGCTGCTGCTACTGCTACTGCTACTGCTACTACTACTACTACTACTACTACTACTACTACTACTACTACTACCCAACCATCCTCAGTGGGCTAGAATAATTTTTTTTGATTACCTTTTTATTTTTTTATTGATCCCCGTTGAATATTTTTTTTTGATTCTATTTTTATTTTTATTTTGATCCCTCACCCCTCCCCAAAGGTCAGTGTTGCCCCCTGGAAGATGGGACTCAGTTCAGATTGATTCCCCTATGATGTTTGGAGAGAAACCATGTTGTGTTTCTTTGTGAGATGTTGCACTCTGTCCTTCATAGCAATCTCTTTGGAAGCGAGGCAGCACTCATCTGAATCGCAAAGGGGAGAGCAGCATTGACGCAAGCCTCCCATGCTGAAATCCTCGGACCTGTACTTTCCCCAGGGCAAGATCGCAAACCATCCATAATGCTCGAGCAGATCGGGCAATCCCAAGATATTGACCGAAAACCACGGCGTTTGATAGACTCCGTGAAAGAACATGAAGGCTGGAGTCCCCGAGTTGCTTGCAGCCTTGCGAGGCACCATGAAGACAAACTGGCGTTTTAGCTTGGTGAGCTTCACCAAATGAATCCCAGGCTCAAAGCCACAGGTCGGCTGCAGCTTATACTTTTGCTGCAAAAGATCAGTGGCCTGTACCTCCACTTCTTCATTCTCAAGTCCCCATCCTGGAAGACATAACACAAACAGGCCCCAGATTGTACCAATAATCCTTCTCAGCCGCAAGACCATGGGGTGCTTGGTCAGCCAGACGCAGCGCTATGGATCTTTGGGGTTCAATCTCATCCTCCAACTTGAGCCAAATCAATATATCACTACCTTACCCTCCGGGGGTGTCAAGCACTGCAAGGGGGTAGTGATATAGTTACAGCATATTAGACCGCCCAAGCTGGGAATCAAGCTTGCGCAAAAGGCCCAGACTCAGCACAGAGTGGAGTTCGGTTTCATGCAGCCACTGATGTGTGACTGTTCCAATGAGGGGAAGTCAGAGATCGAAGATGACAATCCCAGGCCTCGAAGGCACTAGATTCGCCAGGGCTCCAGCCAGTGTATCGTCAGCCAAGTAATTCATGTTGAAACACCCAGGATCACCCAGTGGTTCTCTAATTTGTTTCGTTCAACATGTTCCCTGTTCCGCTACAATCTCCCGGAGTCCTCCAGGTGCACTGTAGGACCAGAAGATCCTGAAAAGAACAAACTAATACGCTCTCAAGAATGATACCGACATATGCCGACCCATGGTCGTTCTGACATACTGGAACGAACGACAACAGTTCAACTATTTTCCAATACTACGGCAAACAAGCAACAAGTCCATGTTGGCTCTAATCCTTCTAATCATCAAACCTCAGCCTCAAGATTCCCGTCAATATATATGCAGCCTTAGACTATACACACACCTGACACGCACAAAACACAATGTTTCGAAGACAGGCATGCAATGCACACACCGCACCTAAGTAGATGCTGCCGTCGGCGCCACCGGCAATCCAGCGGCCGTCTGGGAGCTTCGCGACCTCGCCAAATGGCCAGAAATCGCGCCAAGACACGCTAGGTGGCGGTTGGACCTAGTGGCATTCGAATAAGGAGATTGAACGTCTTGTTTAACTTGTTTTCACCAATCCTGCACAAATTCCTACTCATGTAGATTTGGATGGCTGATTGATGAATCAGTGTCCTGGGCAGACCATCACATGCTCGCCCCCATGGCCGCACCTGGTTCTTCTAAGTTAAAGTTCTTCTTTGATGCTGCGTGACTATATTTTTCAGCTTGGTGACTTCTCTCTTGCATGCTCCGAAAATGGAGAGTAATTACCCCGCATGAACCCTGAAGATATCTGAAGATGGAGTTTGAGCTTCTTGCAGCAAAAAATACTGTAAGTGAACTGAACAACCTGACTGGTTATCAAATACACACCAACAATGATTTACAAAACACGACAGCCCCGCAATCGCAGAAATAGAGTGCCAAATGGATCCAAATGGTATTCTCCAATGACCTGACCATGTATTGACATGGGACTTGGAAGGCGTTGTTGCTTTCAGGTGAGCCCTATACGGGAAAGCTCGAGAACAGCAAATTCACGTAAACACTTCAAAGCTACCTTCAGGCATGAGAGCATTCCTCCCGGTTCGTCCGCTTTGGCATGGAAGCGAACCTATCTGAGGGGGTCCACCACTCTCTCCAGCTCTGGCTTTGAAATGGTTCTGTCAGACCGCTAAAGCCAACCGGGACTAAACAAGACCGGTTCTAAACTGAACGGTTTCGAGGGAGAAAGCAGGATGGTAGGACTTCAGTGAAATGTCCAGTCTCGTTGGGCCAGTTGTCGTGGCGCAGTGTTCGCCACAGCGGTGGTGCACTGGGTGTCCCCTGCACAGCCCAACGGAGTGGAGTTTGGAGCCTTGGAGAGCTGGAAGAGATGTTGCATATCTCATCATATCTCATCGTTTCCTGGTTCTCATATGTTCTCATGGATGGGAGATTTAAACTCATTGAGAGATCACAGATATCATATCTTCGGTTATTTCTCTTGTGAGAATGAACCTCCACACTTGCTATGGGGCTACAATTCCCAATGTATTTGCTTTCCACATGGCACACCGGTGGGACCGACCAAATTTGGGTAAAAACCGGGGGGACCGACCGGTTGAAAAGACGATGAGGGAGGTCAACCTACCAAGGTTTTGACCCACATCCATTTAGAGTGGCAGTTCTCTATGGTGACCGTGAAACGAAACCCCTCAGGTGCCGTGCTTGGAAGAATGAGAAACACCACTTGAAGCTCTTAAAGGTCAAAGGATGTCAAAGGTACAAATGTGAATGGCCTCCAACCTAAGAGCGACAGCCTCCTCATGCCTCCTCTACTTGAGGTTCTTTCAGCTCTGGTGTTTGGTTCAATGTTATAATTATATAGTTATATAAACAGCCGTTCCAGATCAGTCTACCCAAACATGGCACGCCAACGAAGCGAGTGAAACACGGACTCAAAACAAAGACAAGGATCACAAGAACACACACAAATCTGAATCGGCCACCCGCATGCTTCCAAGCAGAGCGATAGTCTGAGATCGGGCCACCCCACTAACTGCTTAGATGCTGTAGCACTGTGATTCATCACGGCATAAAGGTGCCCATTGTCACCGACCTGTCAGAAATAGGGAGGCCAAGAACCAATCCATGACCTCTAGTAGGTTAGTGGGCACCAGGTTCGAGCTGGATTCGGAAACTAATCGGTCGGATTCTGAAACTAGGGTTCTGAAACTTGGATTCTGCAACTGGTATTCTGAAACTGGGTTTCCGAAACTTGGATTCTGAAACTGGTATTCTGAAGCTGGAGGGCTCATATTGGATGCTTGGGTCCGCGGTTGCTGCTCGAACTGTTGCGAAATCCTGTCAGTCGCGGAATCCCAGTTTTAGAAGCCTAGTTGCAGAATCCGAACAAATAGTTGCGGAATCCTGTGCAGTTGCGGAATTTGACTTTATTCCAAGCCTTTCCGCTCCCTCGAGACTTCACTTTGGCCGCACAGCACAACAATTAGTTTCCCGAGTTACACACTAAAGATGTAATATGAATGGTAGATGATGAGACCGATTTGGGCGTTGGTCAAGGAGCAACGATGTGAAGCACATGACAAAACAAGCATGCCTGCTTCTCAGACCATCAGCTTTGAAATACCACAAAGATGGCATCCACATCGTTCTACACGAATCCAAGAGCTTTCATCTGAGCGCTCTACAAGCCATGCTGAACCATCTTTATCACGCCAAGCCCATCCAAGAGGATTCCTGTAAATGAGGTGTGCAAAACTTGACTCCATGCACTTTGTTCTCTGAGCATGGAGATTGCTCTTCTCGCCGAAGCTCTCACGCCTCGCTGGATTCTTTCCGTAGACACCACGTTTCTGACTGACCTCTGCGCAGCAGTTCTGACAACGTTTAGCTCTTGCTCTACAAACATGCTTGAGCTTGGGTGGCTCATTAGAAACTTAAGCAGCGCATTGCCTTTCACTCAAAAATCCTGCTCTCAAACCATGCTCAATTCTCAGTACCGCTCTGTAGCTGGAGACTTTTGTGGCAAATTGACGACCCAGTGCTTGAAGTGAGCGTCTCCGACCTTGGAAATAGCCAGCACACCGTTACTAAGTTACACAAGCTAACGGCAGCCAACACTGATCGTGTTTGAAGTATTGGTGAGGATCTACAACAAATCAAAACACAAATCCTTTCTGTACAGTCTCCTACAACCCCATAAATGGTTTATCCTTGACGAATGGTCCACAACCACCACTTATTCACTGTAAACTGTAGACTGGATGTCTTCTTCAATACAATCGCAGCAAGGCACCATTAGCCAAGTATCCACTCCCCAAAGCACTCACAATTGAATGGTCTGTATCTTAGGAATGAGCAGTTGCTTCAAACGATGGCGAATACAAGTCCGTGCAACAAAGATGCATAGCAAACCCATGTAAAAAATGATTCGACAGCTCTACAATGGCTCAGCTGAGGTATCTTCAACCCACCTGACTCTTCCTGCAAATCGAGGCTCTACTCTGTGCTTTGCGGTGCTTTCGAGGTCAAGACCGTAGTGAAGGTCAGCATGGAAGAGGTACAAGCAGCTTCAAACATAAATATGCCATAGGTCGTCCTTGGAAACAGCTTCCATTCTCTCAAACGGCAGGCTCTAGTGGCATTTGCTTTGGAGGCCTGTTGGTACCAATACTTACCAATTAAAGGGCTTGCCGTCATAGACTAAGTGATGCAGAAATGCAATAAAACCCAGCATAATCCCTTCTGCAGGAGACTTGTGCTCACATGATGACAAGCTTTGTAGATGGAGAGGCTGACATGTGTGCAATCATCCGCCAAATCATCAGCGATTTCTTTGTTCAAAGCCTCATTCAACACTCCTCTTAGGGTGCTACTGACGCCCCGAAGAAGCGGTGAAGATCTGCGTCAGTCCAGCCGCCGGACCGACACAGCCCTTCCTGACCTGGAGCGATCCAAACAGCGTCCGCACCCAGCAAGGCTCCAAAATGGCTCAAAGCTCCCAGCCTCGCGACCAAAGTTGCGCCAAATGTAAAAAGTCTTGGCCTCGAACGCATCGCGGCGCATTGCGGAGGTTGCGAACGAGACTGAAACTAGAAGCTACTAGGAGCAAGCTACTAGGGGCTCCTGGCATCGCTACTAGTAACAAAAAGCTACTAGCTCCTAGTATAGTAGCGATGCCAGGAGCTCAATGAAGACTTGGTGCAACGTGTTCCATGATCCAATAGGCTGACGATGGTGACCGTGATGAAATGATGAACATGTGCAGAAGCTATATGCCCTGGTAGTCGGTAGACGTTCTCAATCATTGCCTATGGAAGGCAAAAGGATGCAAAAAGTGAAGTGGGTGCATGGAACATCTAATGTCGTCTAATGTCCGAAAGAAACCTCGGATACGGTGCCTTCCACTCCAAATTCCCATTGAATTATGCAGACCTTACATGACCTTGCAGCCTATAGCATTATCATGCATGATCATGCTTTATTTATATAGCTGCTTGTATGTAGAGTATTCCCAAAGGCCAAACAGACTAAAACAAAACATTGCCAGGTCCTTCTGTCAAATATCCCCAAATACTTCAAGGATACATTTTGGGGGTACGTCGTGAACATGAAGCATGGTGCATGTGTCAGGCAATGAAAGGGTCTGCAACATATGACAGACTTCCCATTGCAAAGGAAA